CTACCGCTGCTGCTCAGGGGGCGAGAAGCCAGCCTGGCATCCCAGCCCCGGGCCTCCGCTGCGGGAAACCGGGGCGCAGCAGCACGCGGCGAGCCCGTGACAAAGGTCTTTGCCCACCTAAATGATTCCGTGGTTCCAAGTGCCGCTGGGGCAGCCCGCCGCTTCAGGCCAAACCCCACCTTCCCCGCGCTGCAAGGCTGTTGCAACGAGGGAATGTCTTGATTAAAGCCAACTTGCAACTTGGAATTGCTGTTACAAAAAAGGACTCAAGCAGGCTCTGGGTCTGCCCCCCAGGTGCTCCCTGCAGAGCCCAGCCTGTGCCCAAATTCCTTTTTTTTTGGCGACAGGTCGCCTCAGCCAGGGAGCCCTGTGGGGAAACAGCCAGCTGCAGCCATGGTGCGGGTATTGCTTCATGTGCATGCTGCTGGAACATTTGCAGAGTTTTTGAACAATTACGCTTAACACCACCCTTACATTCCCCATCTGCACCAGTTCATCCCGAAGCATCCATGTTTCTTGCTAAGTTTGTTTTCAAAACGGTTGCCTGCTGGAACATGCTGCAAATTGTCCAGTCCTTATCTGTTACTTTATTTGCTTCCCACACACGCCGAAGCCAGGGCATTAATCAGCGTGGCCAAGCGCTGGCCTGCCTGGCCCTTCCTGTTCCTGCTTGCTCTACATTTTTGCACTACCAACTAAGTCGCCACCAGCAGGAGAACTACATCAAATTAACTCTGTTTTTGATAAACACATCCATGGCTCTGCCAGAAAGGAAATGTCAGTGACACTCCTGACTGTCTCAGTATCTTAGTCAGCGTAATGCTTCCCATTTTGGGGGTACACCGCCAATTATATGCCTACGCCCACAGGAAGGGCTGGGGTGGCTCTCTGTCAGAGGAATAATTCATCTATCAGCAGACAGCTGGGGCGCCACACAAACTACTCAGCCCTAAAAGTGAACCAAGGATTCAAGAACGCAGCTCAGCGCGTGACAAATTATTGCTGCAAACCAGGTTAAGGTCATTGCTACAGGTACAGAAAACATTAATAGCCATCAGCTAAGATGCTGCCTGCACATGATTTTTTTTTTTTTCCCCCCTGTTAGAATTCACTACTTCTCCCTTAATTTCCTCAGTGTGGTTCTTTGGAGAGAGGTGCTTTGAGTCACTTGCCACTGCACTGTGTTTCTGGCAGCAGAGGCACACGGGATGCATTTCAAATGGTCGATGCTACATTTTGGATTCAATCGCTGTGTGCAGATGTGGGTATGAAAGGTCTATCAGGTGTTGTGCTTTTAGCAGCCTGAAAAACCTTGTAGCTGGAAAATAATTCCTTCCAGCATTGCTTGCTACCTGAAAGAGCTACAGGTATTAAACGGGAATTGGTAGCTTTTGGCTGGGCATTTTTCACGTTGTATTATACCCATTTTTAACTATTGCAAAGCAGGGGAGATCAACACAGAGGTATTTAGACTCTCATGGAAATTAGGGCAGAATTTGAGGGATACCCTGTGAGCTACAAGGGGAGGGTGTAAGAACCGGGACCAGGCTCAAACCCACTTGCGTGTCGTTTGAAGTCAGCTCCATACCAGCACCCCATCCTGCTTCCTCGCTCCCAGAAAGCCTAGCCCCTGCCTCATGGCATTCAAATACTGTGGCCACGCAGCTCCGATCGGGCAGTTCTGCTTCTCCCACGCCAGCGGTGCCGCTAGCAGACACACTGTGCCCATTAGGTTTTTACAACTAGGAAGAACTAAAAATAAAACTTTCCAGGACTTCTAACTGTCCAACAGCAGCAGCACCATGCTATTGCTAACGGCAACCCCACTGCCGTGCCTGGGCAAGAACTGATATACGTGTCTTTACCCATGCATATTAAGGGAATTCAGAAGGGAAGAGATGTCCGTACAGAAGGCAAACAACTCTTGTGACACAGCAGCCTTTGGGCGGATGAACAGAGCTGCCCTGAGTCAGAGTAGCACTTAGTCTGTGTTTCTACATAAGAAGCCTCAGGAAGATGAAACTAAGACTTAGCTAATGCCAAGAAAGCCCAGAAACTGTAAAAACACAGAGAGATGCCGATCAAGGTGGTTTGGTAAGCTGTCCTTACGCCCTGCCCCCACGCCCCCAGTCCTGACACAGCACACAGAATCATAGAATCATTTAGGTTAGAAAAGTCCTTTAAGAGCATCAAGTCCAACCGTTAACCTAACCCTACCATCCCACCACTAAACCATGTCCCTAAGCACCTCGTCTACATGGCTTTTAAATACCTCCAGGGATGGGGACTCAACCACTTCCCCAGGCAGCCCATTCCAATGCTTGACAACCCTTTTGGTGAAAAAATTTTTTCTAATGTCCAACCCAAACCTGCCCTGGTGCAACTTGAGGCCATTTCCCCTCATCCTATCATCCATTACCAGGGAGAAGAGGCCAACCCCCAGCTCACTACAGCCTCCTGTCAGGCAGTTGTAGAGGGCAACAAGGTCTCCCTGCAGTCTCCTCTTCTCGGGGCTGAACAACCCCAGTTCCTTCAGCTGCTCCTCATCAGACTTGTGCTCCAGACCCCTCACCAGCTTTGTTGCTCTTCTCTGGACATGTTCCAGCAGCTCAATGTCCTTCTTGTAGTGAGGGGCCAGCTCCCAACACTGCCGGCTGGTTTTATTCCTGAACTGAGCTGGTTATGACACCCTCAGATGGCACACGCTCAGAGGTGGAAATGACACTTTGGGTCTAGTTTTTAGCCGTTCTCTTTGAAGTGCACACAGCTAAAAGACTTTGTTTCCACTGAGTCTGCAGCTGACAAATTCGGGTACCATGTGAGCTGCTGACCTCCAGCACACTAGAGCACTGCGAAATCACTCAGCCTCCCTTCTCATCAAAACAAAGCTTTGAAGTGATAATATTTGGCGCTCATTACAACCAATACTCTGCTGGACCACCATGCTGAAAGAGGTGGAATGAAGCTTTAATAAAAGGAAGGACAAAGCGAGAGCTGCCTAGGCAGGACTAGCTTGCATGGAAGGGGCTTTCCAGAACACAGGAACACAATAGGTCTTGTTCACATAATGAAAATTAACAGCTAAAGGTTAACCAAAGCCTGACCCTCTTACCGGTCCCTCCAGAGAGACAGTTTTCAGTAAGTTAGGTACATGGATTCCTGAAAGTACAGAATTATGGACTCGGGGGAAGGGAGGGAATCGCACAAACACAAGAACGGGTCCATGGGGCAAGTTGGAAAGCAGAGTGAAGAGGCATGATGACTAAGAAATCTGCTCCAAGGCTTTTGGTCAGAACACTTACTCTGCACTAGTTGCAACCTGAAGAGACTTACAGACACCATAGTTCTGATCAAATTTTCGGTGGGTTATGAAGAAATTGGCAGGAACATCCTACAGAGCCTTTTTTCACGACCTACCTTAGCTTTGAAGCGTCTATCGTTATTTCTCATAGATAAACTAATCATCGTTGCTTCTTCCCCTTTAACGCAGGCTTTAGGACATAAACATCCTGTTGAAGCAAGTGAGAAATCGTTGCTTTCCAAAACATCCTGAACCCAGCCTTAGCACAAGCTTTCCCATAGCACAACCACCTGTAACAGGCATCCACCAAACAAACGTATGCCCATGCGGACACCTGCACATTATACTGCATTGTATGAGCCTGGTAACTGTGCTTGACACTGAAACACCTCAGCATCATCCAGCAGCACAAAAATACAGCATCTGTTGTGTACTTTTTTTTTCCCCCTACCCCCCATCCCATCTCGACCCAGGGGGAAAAGCCTAGGTAAGAAAGCTTTCTGTGAAAAGCATTTAATCATACATTAATACATACTGTAGAAAGAAAAAGCAATGTCAAATATGTGTACTGCCTTGCTTGGTAAGTTTGATCTCAGAAGAACAAGACAAGCAAAGTTTTAGTGCAAATCACTGCAGTTTCATTCGCTTCACTCCTGCTGTTATCAAAGGTCGCAGGGAAAGCCTTGGGGGAGTGGCACTCACCCATATGGCAAAGCACAGCCTGTACAAACAGAGCAGCAGAGACAACAAATGCCAACCTCATTTTCTTTCCAGACCGGCTTCAGGCAGACCTGAAACCACCCACTCGTTTCAAACCAGCTTTTGCTACCATTTTCAAAAGGGCTCCACCATTTATAGGAAGTACTTTACTGCATTCCTAAATGAGCATCTCATCAATTCCGCATCTTGCAACAGTGCTGGTTGTTACAGTGACGTACAAGCATGAGGATGGGCAGTTAGTGACCCAACAGCTGCCAGAAATAATTTTTTCCTGCTTTTCCCCTCCACAAAAAAAATAAAAATGTACATTTTTAAAATTAGCATACAAGTATAAATATCATGGGGAGTATTGTGACAGAGGCAGTTAACATAGCAATTAGGGGATTATTTCCACAACATCAGTTATTGCAATAACTCAGTACTCAAAGTGAGTAATTTTACAATGATTTGCTCTGGGTTTTTTTCCCCCCAAATCCATGCAATACTGTTTCAGACTTTGGAGGAACACCATCAAGCACCAATAAACCTTTAGAGCAACTGGTTAGGCCTTACAGGCATCCCAAATTTCCCTACACGCATGCTACATCAACCGCTTCGATATGTATCCACAGTTATGCTGGAGCGAGCATCTTCTGTCTTTTGAAGATAATGCAAATAAACCAGTGGAGAATTTCATATTATCTATCATTTGGTCAAAAATGTGTCTCGATTAAAAGGGCAAGTCATGGCAAACATTGCTTCTGCACTTGAGGGCCAGTTATACCTTATTGTCATGTTTCCAAAACCATTTGTGCCTTAGGCACTTAAGCATCAGCAACAGGATTCCCCTGCGGGCACTGAATCTAGCAGTGGAAATGAATCACACTGCCTCTGAAAAGCGCTGTTTGTAAATTCTTGACCTGGTTTAACACTGAATGCACTCAAGTATTTCACCTATCCAAACTTTGTAAGCCACTATGAAGTACCACAAATACGGCCTTAGAGGCATGTTTCTGTAAATGCTTATAAAGTATTTATTCACTTGCTACCTGTGATTTCTCTAAGGCAACAACAAAATGAGCAGTAAAATACCAGCCTTTTCATCAGTTTTTCACCATAACCCCTTTGAATCAAGTGTTCAACCTCTGACGACCCCACTGGACTTGAAAACATTCCTGTTTCTCTCTAGAATCCCAACATAATTAACCTAAGTTGAATAAAAAACCCCCAGTTTAACAGAGGTTTATCTTACTTTTCCTTTACTGAGAAGGGACACCTGATTTTACATAGAAATGCCCTATTTAAGTGTGTCAGTATGCTGGCTACCATGATTTAACCCACCAGCCTGTCACAGCTTTCAAGTCTTTCTTAATGTGCAGTGCTCTAACGTTGTTATGAACTACATAAATACTTCAAAAAGCAGTTTGCTCTATCACTACTTCTGTGAAGCCTAACTTTTTGCTGGAGTGAAATCTGGTTCAGATACCTTTAAAAATCCTAACTACTATGACTGACACATACCCACAGAGTCTCAGAACTTGATAAGGCTTCTCAAAAATTAGTTCTTCAAGCCTTCACTAGTCTTTATTAGCCTTCACGTTTAAGCAAGAAATTTAAGAACATTCAAAAAACAAGTAAAGTTTCTGTTTGGAAGACTGCTACAGAAACATCCCGAAAGAATTCTCTCTTGGGGAATTGCCAGAGGCTGAAATAAGAATTTGATATTTGCATCTTTTAACAAGGCTTAAGCTAGGCATCATTTACAATTCTTACACAACTCTGGGACAACTCCTGTGTTACGAATGGCAACCCTCTTTCTCCCCTTTCATTAGCTACACCTGGAGCACAAAGATTCCTGCAAGCAGGAATTTTTGAGCAGCTCGCTCAAGCACCTGTCCTAAAGGGAATATCCAATGTAAAGGCATTATTTAAGTCAGCTATGAACCTAAGCTCTAGGCAGAAGCGCACACCAGGCAGTTAGTCCTGTTCCCAAAGCACTCCTAGGGCTATGTCTAAAACCAGGAATGAATTAAGATCGCATCTCTTGATTCTAGCCTATTGCTCAAGAGGTTCATAATCAAAGCCTTCAAATGAAGTTAGCTTTCCAAGAAACGTTCTGAAGTCAGAACTCATATAAAATTGAAGTGTACAAAAGGCATAAAATATTTATTATGACTACAGCAGCTTTACACAGGAAAGTTAAAAATTTAAAAAGTATTCCAATATTTGGATTCATAATTTTTCTTCAGGACAGTTGGTCAGTAGGTCCCTGGGATATCTGCAGGCACCTTTAAGAGTTCTTCGACTTCTTCTTGTAAAGCCTCAGCTTTTTCACTTAGTAACATCTAGAATGGAAAAAAAAAAAACCCCAAACCCAAACATTAGAAAATGAATATAAGCATTAGCTTTAACTGTTAGACAGGTTAAAACACCAATGTTCCTTTCCAAACTTGCATCTGGTCTGTAAAAAACTTCTGCTGCTGCTCACAGGACCGTAGTACCTTTACCTCAAAGGACTAACATTTAATACAAGTCCTACTACCAACTTTTTACTGTTTAGTGTATAACCACATGAAAAGCACTAACACAAAAATTCATACAGTACGCAGCTGGTTTCCTCAGTTCTGCCATCACACAACACACAAAATTGTACAGAACAAACATTTTTGTCTAGAACTGTTCACAAGACCATTTTTAACCTTAAACATTTTTTTTCCATGTTGGAATAAACATTTGTTGGTTGTGCCTGCCAAGTTGCCAATGTCTTGCTTTATGCAAAATTTCTTACTACAGCATTTTACATCAGACATATAGGACCCCCAATATTAGCAACTGTTTAATCCACTGCCCTGAACTGTTTGTTGCTGGCAGTGGCGAGCATAACAGTCCCCCCAGCAGCATATGTAGCGTAACACATCCAAGCACTCTTCTAAGTTCCCAGTTAGAGAAAACTCCATCAGTTTAATGTCTGAGCATGGGAGTAAGCGAGACTGCTGGATTTGGCACTGATGTAGATGGGGGATCTGCATACATCCCTTTCTTTTGGCTCCCACAGCAGCGAAAAACTACAGTAAGGAGCCTACAATAATGTTAAATGGCCATGACCTTTTTTAAGTGCATAAACCCCAAAGTTAGTACTTTTACTCCATGAGAATATACAAACCAAGACTGTTACTGACTGCGTCATTTTTACGCCAGCCACCCACTCATTTGTTCTAGGCATTCCCTTACTTTACCAAAAGCTTGCTATTTTAGCAGAATCAAACATGAAGCCAATGCCATTGCAACAGCAGATTATTATTAATGGAGATGGAGGAGAGAAAATACTGTCCCTTGACAAATACTTCCTGTATTTCTTTGTCTAAGCACAACTCAATGTTTGTTACAGATCCATTCCCCTGGATTATTTATGCGTGCCTTAGAGGCAGATATTAAGTGAAGGCCTTTCTAACGACGCATATTCAAAACAGAAAACAATTAGAAAGGAAAGAATAACCAGGCATGATAAAAGCAACCTAAATAGGAGAGGTTAACACTATACCTTGTTGGTTTCCATTTCTACAGTCCTGAAAATTCTGTTCTTTTATCACAACTACCATTAGCATTTCTGTAAGTCCTGAGGTACTGGCAGAATTGAGCATTTTCAGCTATGATGACTCCAGCACAGAGATCAAGGCAGTCATTTAATGTCTGCATTTCATCAGACCAGCTGTCAAACATTTTTGCCCTTTGCTTCCCCTCTGAAAAAGAGCACAGCTTTCCACTACCCTGTATATAACATTGTTTTAAGAAAAGTTTAAGTTTGCCTATCATTCAGGAGCATGAAGGTTAGCAATTGCTCAATTCATTACTCTTTATCATCTTAGATAAATTATATTGTCAAGAAAATATTTCAGTGTATTCTTAATACAGATCACAAATATCCACTAATGCCTTCACTTTTCATGTCATTCAAACATCCACTTTTGACATATTGAAGTTCTGAAGCAGGTTTTTATAACTTTGTTTCTAACTTACCTTTGCAGATGAAACAATTTGTTTGGCTTGACGTCGTGACAAGTGCTCAATTGTCTTGACCAGAGTTTCTGGATTTGCGTTAGCCAAGTGTGCTAAAGTTTTGTATCCTGCATTATAAAGCTGTTTCGCTCGTGCCTGCAAGTCCATAATTGTGTTAAGATTACTAGAACAGGCAATAAGAATTACCATTAAGTACCAGTCTCTGCACCAACTTCAAACATTTAATCTTTGCATATCAATCCAGTTCTTTGATTGATCATTCCAAGAACATGAATACTCACTGAGAATCTTTACTCCCCAAAAATACAGCTTTACTGCTAAGATTTACCTCCCCACACACTTACCCAGGTCTTAGGAACCCACTTGTTATTTTCTCTGAGCCTAGATTATACTGACTCTGCCATCCTCTTTTGCTATCATGTTTTCTGCATTCACCGTCACTGACAGGAATGACTGTCTCACATTTTTTGGAAGTGTCTAGGTGAAAGGGAGGGCTGATTTTATCTATTTTTTTTCCCCCAGAGAATTTTCACACAACAGAGCTTTCACAAAATTCCAGGAAAGACTGTACTTTCCTGTTTCGAGCTTACAAATAGTTTTTCCTTTGGTATCACAGTATCTTTTTTATTTCTCTAGTTTTGTGCAAAGTCACGGCTGTGAGCTCACAGGAGAGATTCACATCACAGGAGAGATTTTCTGGAATTAGATTATCAGCAGTGTAAGGGGGTGTACATTATCTGCTTCGCATAACTTGGTTTGATCTTGTTGCTATGCAAGGTAGCCAAGCAGTAGTTGCTTAACAGAGGGGCTTGGGACAAGCATTTCTTTTGCAAAACAAAGACTGCTAGAACTTTACGAAGTTTTAATTAAAATGCATTTCTACACTAGTAGTAATTTAGTATATCCAAGGCTTTACTATCCTGAGTTATGAAATAATACCCATTTGATGAACAAGTGTTACATCTCCAAAACATTTTGTCAATTACCTTTTTTTTTTTTCCCCTCGCCTCTTTTAAAGACAACAAGGAACAGACAGACATTTATCTGATGGCATATGTGGGTTTATTTAGCATCCAACAGGTAACGGCTTACAATATATTGTCTTCCTCCACGGTAACTGAGGGCTATGCATGTTTATTGATGTGAAGTAGATGTCACTAATTTCACCAAAAATAACCACTAATTGCCAGCAAATATTTCTGTGCTCTATTTGGCTGTTATATGCACAGTATGACTGATGACACAGAATCTTTCCCCACTAATGACTTAAATCTCATTAAAAGGTTTTTGATTGGATACAGCAATAATTTTGAAGAGTCACCTTTAAAATACACCTTCAGCAGAATCATGCTGTCTAGGCTGCTTTTGCCCTTATGCAGAAATGCTCCCACATAGAGTGAACCATGAAAAAAATACTACTTACCTTTGCATCCAATTCAGAAGATTTGATACATACAAAAAACCCCATTAGGCTCTAAGTCTTCATAATTGTTTAGCTTCTCAGAAGTAAAACCTTACTGCCACTAAATTCAATGGTTTGCTGACAAACTGATTCTACAATAGGCTGGACAAGCAAGCTAGATCATTTTGCAAAGAGATCCAATTATTTATAACCTTGCACAGAAGCCTTAATAGGAGTCTTTGATTCAGAGACCGGTTAAGTTTCTTATTTAAAATACATGCAGCACTGCAAATGCTTGTGAAAGCCTAAGTTCCCAACAGGACTTCACATATTTCTGTGAGGGTCTTCTAACCAAATATGTAAATTCTTATGTTCCTCTCTAGTCCCATGAACTGAATAATCCTTACCACAAAAGAAACCTGGAATCTGTTTTCCAACTGAGTATACAGCTAAATTATTGTCTAAATACAGCGTTTCCACTGTTGCTGTGGTAGCAGCCAGAAGAAAAACATTATTGGCTCCAGCTCACATTTCCTCAACAGACCACTTTTTTCCCAACCTCCAGGACCATTTTGGGATATCTGCACTATACCAAATTCTCAATAAAAAATTATCGTCTTCCAGATATACCTAAAAGGGACAGTAACATTTAGCATATAAGTTTACATTGAAAAATCTCACAAAGCCGGGTTTACTAACCTCTAGAACCCCTGCCACCTCCATGAGAGGGATGAGTTCTGTCTTAACACAGTAGGTCAACTGCTTGGTAAGTTCTGTCAGCAAGGCTTTATAAACCCAGAATTCTTCCAATTCCTGCAGAGACAAAGATCACAAAGAAATCAGATTGTAAGTTCTGTATTTGGGGGGTATGACTGGTAAGAGCTCTGCTATGGCAACGAGCATATATTTGGCTTCTAGACAGGGGAAGCACTATTATTTCTACTTGTTCTTTCAGCTAGTTGCAGAGTTGTGTTCAGCACGCTTCAGCTGAACATCCCAAAGTTGGGGCAGTTCTGAAGGATAAGCAATGCATTATTTCAACAGAGGAAAGAAACCAAGAGAACAAGCAGAGTCAGCTGTTTTCCTGGGATGACATTCCACAACCAGATGGCCTTATTTCCAAGAGAAAGGTAAAATCGTCAAGTTATTTCACCAACAGCACTGACACTGATCAATGCCCTGTGCAGTTTGTTTATTTTCACATTCTCAGTGCATAAAGCTTACTTTTAGTATAAGAAATCACCGTCCGAGCATGTTTTTCTGAACAGGCAAAATAATTGAACAGAGAAGATGAAAACACAGTTTTGCACAGGAAAGGTGAAATACAACACCTGTGTTCAGTTCTAATGTAAGAGAACAAAGCTCTGGATTTTGCAAAACCAATAACCAATCCCAAAGAATTTATTTGAATCCATTTAACACACTACCTCACAGAAATGTAGAACACAGGAGGCAAATGAAGCAGCAGAATTAAGGAGATTTTGCACATATCCTCGGGACATGTTAAATTTCTCTGAAACGCTCCATATATTGGTCTCTTTCAGTAGGGTATAAAGGACAAATGTCAGGTAGAGCCTGTTTACCACAGCACTGTCCACATTCTAGGAATAAAGCAAGTTAGAATTCAGAACCAATATCACATTCAAGGTACTCTGTTAGTGCTACAAGGAAATTCTTTTCATCTCTACTCCTTCATGTCTCTAAAACATGTCTATATTATACCCAATAGACATTAAACGTTAAGAAAGCCAACCAACGTTAAAAGAACCTTAATAAGTAGAACAGTAATAAAGAACACTAGCAGAAAAATAATCTAGAATTTGCAAGTAATGAAATGACTAAACTGTCATCTTAGGTACAAGAAATCTCCAGCCTACCTTTCTGATGGCTTGACCAGAAGCCTTTTTTGTAATAAAGCTTTCAGGTACTCCCACAATATCTGTTACTTTTTGCTCTGCTGCGCTTAGCTGGTTGAACTAAAATAAGATTTCATAAAGAATTTTCAGATATTTAGTTCTCTTAATATTATAGAAAACACAAGGCTATTACCCAAAGTGAATCAATGATTTTCAATATCTCTATGTAGTACTTAGTCACTAGACTAGAACTACAGTCATTAGACACAGTCAGATCTGCAGATTCTTTGCCAACTTGTTTGAATTATCTGGAACTGCCCATGTCTGAATGCCACATTTTAACAAAATGAAATAGATTTTTTTAGTGCTACCCCTAGTATACAACACTTTAGAGAAAAGGGAGCATTTGAATTATGGGTGGATCTTACAGAGTGTGCAAGACTAGTATAAGGGCTGACACAGGCACAGTAGTCTGTAGGAAGGTATCGGTCACAGTCTAATAGTTGCAATCATGGCTGGAGTTAAGCATTAGACTCAGATATGAAAGATTAAGACTTAATATTCTCTAGTGGATTTTGCTTCCTAAACTACAGAATTAAATGAGCAAGCATCAAAAGGTAAACATGCTCTTGACTAATTTAATAATGGTTGCAAGACTACAATGATGTGGCTACTTTATAGGAAAGTTGTTTAAGATTAACCAGACTCTGGTGATGGCAAGGCTAGCACCACGGTTAGATTCAGGATTTGGAGTACTGGCAACTCAAGAGGTGTTTCAAGTCACTGTTTTCCCCCAGACAGCATCAAATATTATAGATGCAAAAGAGAACTTAGATTTTTATGCATAACAGGAAAGCAATTCTGCCCTGTGACTGTATGTGACTATGCCATAAAATAACATATCCTGACTTCTCATGAAATCGTTACTCCACTATCTAAATTTCCTATGTGCAAAAACTTACTTAAAATTTAATAAGCAGGATTACTATATGCCCCAATGCACATTTGCTAGTAAATTCTCACCTGTCTCAAGTATATCATCCAATCTGGGCTACAGTTAGAAGTCATATCATATGGAGTTGCCAGATACAGCAGATGAAGATTGCTCTCAAGAATCAGCCCTTCCAAACCTTTCTTCAATTCTCTGTAAAGAAGATTGCAGTATGCCAAGTCTATAGATCCTATAATAAGCACACAATGTATTGCAATTTTAAACAGACGTACAGAATTAAGTGTAATAGATTTTAATGTAAAGTCAATATTTCCTTTATCTTCCACAAAAGCTTGTTATGCCATCTGAATTGAAGAGAAATAACTGTAACCTGAATAATTGTTCTAACCTAAAATGAGCAGTGAAACAACTAAGGAAAGGCAGTCATCTAGGTCCATGTATTCCATTTTGTGTGTGGTTTTGGAGTATTTGTGAGTTGCCTTGGCTTTAATGAAATTCTGGAACAATCTTGTAGACTGAAGGAATCTTTCAGAGACTCATCTTATTCCAATTGTATTCCATACCCTGCACCTCTATGACAGGAAAACAGAACTTCCTGATATACTATCTTATTTAATACAATTGGTCTACATGTCATATGCTTCCCTCTTAAGTTTCCCTCTAGGTCAAGAAATCCCCCTGTTGACAACAGTTGTTCATAACAATGAATTATAAAACAAAGTCATGAGATACTTTGACTACAATCATTAAATCAAATCTTTAAACCGTTTTTTTGGGGGTACAGTTCTGGTTTTACTCCCATTATGCCCAACATTATTACACTTCATTCCCATCATGTTCAGTCATGTGCTACTCGTTCATTCCCATTTTCAGTCCAGCACATCATTTAGTAAGCAAAGCTGTGTCTCTACAACTTATTTTTCATTGCAGTTTCAGACTGAAGATGGGAAAACATATTTAATTGAGATAAGGCTTAGGTGAAAGGGTTTGTTGAAATAAAGATTATGAGAATAAACAAGTCTTACCTTTATATGTAGCTTTACCCAACGGTGTGATTGTTAGTGTACACTTGGAATTGTGGTCCTTCTCAGATATTCTTCCTTTTAGGAGTCCTTTTTCTATTAGATTTTCTAGCCCATCTTTAATTATCTCTGAGAGGCTCTTCTCCTTAGACAGCAGCTGCTGCTGAACACCCAGCAATGTACTGTGCACAAAATTATCAACTTCTTCATAGGTAGTTGCTATCTGCATCAGTTTTGCAAGTGATTAGCATGTTTAAAGGTGTAATTTCACATAACACATTTCATAAGCTATATTAAAAAAATTACTGAATAGGGAAGCAGTTTGATATCCTGTTAGTGTGTTTCTACAGAAACACATGACAACACATAGAATGACAGACAGTCTAGAATGGATCTGATGGGACTGCTCTCCATCTGTTCTATTGTTCTAGCTACTACATCGCGTTAATTTGTTTCCACTGTTTCTATTTGTATTTTAAATCAAGTATCAGAAATTGAAGTATTATTAATACTGTAATGTATCATAAGGTAGATACAATTTTGACTTTTACACACATAAGGAAATTGTCATGTTACATGATTATGTGATAAACTGAGTTAAAAAGACTAATCAAATCCTTGTCCTTCTTATCTGAATAGAAGCTGTTCTGAACTTGTAAGCCAGTCTGTTTAAAAAGGCTGTTTTTTCTATAGAATCAATAGATAAGATTTTCTTTGCATTCCCAAGCATTTATGTTACTCACAGAGAGGAGTTAACTGATACCTTCAGTCCAACCAAAGATAACAACAGGCTCTGCATTCCCTTGGTCAACTCCAGCAGAAGATTGCTGTAACAATTCTCCAAAGGACTGTTAACTAAATCCTGAACCTAAAAAGAGCAAGAAGTATGTTAGTTCAGGAAAAATATTTATGCATTAGTTTTACACTTCTAAAAATACTGGTACACATGATTCAGCTTATACAGAAAGTAAGTGTAGACACCTAAAGTTTACAGTCCACATCTGAAAACAAACCACATAAAGGTAGTTTATAGGTATTATTACATAGCTCAAATACTTGTGATGTTAAGAAGTGAACAGAAATTAATCTGGGCAGCTCAGCTCCTCCTATTTACCCCACCAGCTTAATCCAACAATTTAAGTTACCAACACCTCTGTGAAAATTACCAAGTGTTTGTCTTTTTCTTGCACTATGAGAATACTTTCTCCAGCACTGTCAATACCAGCTCGACCAGCTCTTCCAATCATTTGTTTATACTGGTTCTTCTTCAGGAAGTCATTAGCAACATAAGGAGCTCTGAGAATAACCCTGTAAAGAAGTCTTTAGTAAGTTATGCTTTATATTAAGATTACTAAAGCAACCAATAAAATTTTACAAATGCATTCTTTATATATACCTTTTGCTTAGTAACTAATAAAAATCAAATGCACCTGTGTGAACAGATGGGTAAATCAACCAGGAAAACATTTAACAATTTAAGGTTTTTTTGAATGATCAGCCATGTTTATTATGTTTTGCAGAACCTTTGGAACTAGTATTTGCATCTACTCAAATGCCTGAGTAAGATTGAAAATCACTGAGATATAAAATAAAAGCTACTAAAAAACATAAGCAACACTGCCCATACATCAGCTATGCTAGAAAGACAACACTTCTCCGTATGAATTTTTTTCCTCCCCTCAGATTCCAACATACATGCACACTAAACTGGATTCTTGGCAGTCTTTGGTCATACAGAGTACAGCAGCTGTATCATCAGCACTTGTGTAAGAAAAGATAACACATTTGTATGTTAAAACATATTCAAACTATATCTCCTTAGCAAAGACTTTTTTTTTTTTTAACAATTTAAACACTGTTCTTAGGACAATATCTAAAGAAGCTACCATTAATTTCTTATTCTTCTGGATAACATTACTATGTTCAATTATTAAAATTTCCTTAATCCATTTAGGTAAGTGCTCTTCAGCTATGCATTCTGAGGAACTTGCTACCGTTTCACATTTCCTATGTAAAAAACTTTGCAGTCTTGTGTCCTGAGTTGAGCACAAAATTCCTTATTCTTCCAATTTGCTAGTAAAATCAGAAACATACTTTAAATAGCACTGATATCTCCAACTTATTAAAGGAATTTTTTTTACAAAGCAAAAATAAATGCAACAATGACCTATGTTTCAGTTACTAACCTTCTAGCTGGCAGGTTGACTCCAGCAGCTAAAGTAGCTGTGCAAGCAAGTAGACACAGGACTCCTGTAGAATATGCTTCCTCTATACTTTTTCTTTCATCATTTGTAAGGCCACTATGGTGATAGGCAATACCAAAAGGGATTGTTTGCTTCAGAACAGGACAGACACTTCCATTTCCAATATTCATTAGGTTCTTGATGAGATCTTGTTTCTCTTTCTCCCTGTGAGCTCTAAATTCTCTTGGAGGAAGAAAAATGTTCTTTACACTTTGATCAATCATTAACTACTTAAAAAAAAAAAGAGACATGCTTACTGTCTATTTCTGTTCATTGACTATTCTTCTAACATCTAGGTTGGAGAAATAGTTATTTCCAGTAACTTTAAAAAGCAATACACAGGAAACTGATTAAGTTGCAAAAGAACTCTTTCCTTGTTTGTAAGCCCAGGTACAGAAGGGATCAAATACTGACTGGGTGTGGCTATCAAATGCACTAAAGAAGGGAAATAGGGCCAGTATCAGCTCGTAGTGAAATTATAGGTACGTCAAAAATGGTTTCAATTTTGATAGCATGGGAGGGGTTTTGTTTACTTTAATATAATTTCTTCCTATATAAAATTTAACTTTGCTGATCAAATCACCATTAAATGAAAACAAACCTAAGCCTTGCTTTCTTTATTAACAAAGCCTGGTTTAGATTTTACAACTTACATTCACAAAGTAGATATGGAACAGAGATACTCAACTGACTAGTAACATACATTACCAAATACTAGGCTATAGAGAAAATGTGTTTTCTAAGCTTGGAGCAACCAGTGCCAAAGGGACACAAGGTTAGATTAACTTAGTATGGTTTTCCTTTTTTTTTTTTTTTTTTTTTAGTACTTGTCCTCTAGTAACCATTTTTTCAACTAGTTTTTTTAAAAAAACAAGATTTATTTTGGTAAAACATTTCTTTAATGAGCCATGAGCAGTTTGCTATCATTTGTACAAGATTCCATATTCAAAGTATTTACTTCTGATCACCAGGCAAAGTCACTTGCAAACCAGGGAAGATAAATCCTAAATTCTGACCAATTATTCAATACATAACTAAAAAAATCATGACAAACTTACTTCTTGAGGTACTTGCACACCATTGAAGCCACATTTTCACAGTTCTTTTTAGTGGGACAAAAGATTAGGCAGGAATATTTAGGAATAACTTCAGTAACCAGTGCAATGATGTGGTCAGGATCTGCTTTCTCCAGATTACTAGAATACTATCATAAACAGATGGATACACATTTAAACTTAGAAATTAAGTCATAAACTAAACATTCAATACTTGTTCTCAACCTTCACTAGAATACTCCCATTTGCTTTAACATGACATAATTCCAAAAAGCTGTAGGATAAGCTTTTCTTCCAATCCTCACTTGAGTTTATTAACACATCTAGCTTGAACTGAGGGATACATGGATGTAAGAACCGAATGCTTTGCTTTTTCACCTTAACACTTCAATTTCTTTTAGCGACATGACGGTGACATTACTTGTGCTACTGGCAGTCTACTACAACACACATTTTTCTTTTTAAAGGCTGAAATGAAACCCTATGATGCAGTAATAAGCTGACAAAAAAAAAATATGTCTTCTTTCAGTACCGTCTAAGAGTGATCAACTGTTGAGAAAATCTACCCAGAAACATGAAGCATTAGGTATGTGGAATACTCAAACCCATTGCTCTTCACATGCCAAAATATTGAAGAAACCTCTACCTTAAAGAGCAGTAAAGAAGTGAAAATCAAGTTAAGTGTTCAGTATTTTAAAGGCCTTTTTCCTCCTGAAAGCCTACTGTTTTCTTTCTTATAGGTATTACAAATGAACTATCATGTTTAAACAATTTCTTTGGTAAAAGGTCTGTAAACAAATCAGTATAAATTCATGCATTTCATAACTATAGTTCAAAGAAACTATAACCACTTTGGTTTTACCTTGAAATTAAGGAGACGTGAAAAAGTAAAGCCATTTTCTGTTTTGTTGTCAACTGCGTAAATGGTGTCTTTTATCTTTATGTATTCTTTTAATTCTACCTAGGAAGATATAAGCCATAAACAGGAACTTTAGTTAAGTAACCAAGTCTTCTTTAAAGATTAAGCTATTACTGATGTACAGCTGATGTTTTTTTCTAAGCATCACATTTCATATACGCACTTGCATGCACACAAGCACACACTCCACCTCATCAAGAATTTTTTTAAAAGTTAATTGTTTCAATTACCTGCCTTGAGAAAGCGCCTAATTGTAACAAAGAATATGACAAATGTTGTATCCCATGAACTATTCATAAACCATTGTCATGACAGCATTCAAGTACAGATTCTAGTTACATCAAATGATCTGTAATGATTTATCACAGTAGCTGTAATTTAGAAATTGGTTTAGTTAAAATGACACAAATGGCTTAACACAACAATATAAAGGTACTTGCATTTGTGCACTTAAAAGCGCGTAGTGCTATTTATTGCGTTGGTACAATTGCAAGCAGTAGGGCATATTACATTACGCTGTGAGAGTAAGCACAAAACTTGCGATGCGATCCTAAACAGATTTGCTATAATTTTAAAGCCAAACATCATCTTTACTAGTTTATGGTATCTTGTATACAGACCGGTCTAAAATTATTAGTATAGTACTCCGCTTGCAGGAACTTCTGCAGGTCTCCAACATTATTTAAAGTCGCGCTCATTCCAATGATTTGTGTGTTTTCTGTAAAACATAAGTTGAAATGAATTTATTGCCACGTTCACAATTTTTAACACTTCTGCTCAGTATTTAATTCATAAGCCTGCTTCTTCATTGTTAGTCTTTTTAAAAGCCAAAGCGGCAGGTTTAAAGGGGGATATAGCTAAGAAATATTACCTGAGATGTAAACATAAAAAAGGAATCCTTCTCTATAGAAGCATTTAATTGGAATGGCTAAGGGGCTCCTATGAAGAAATGGAAGACATTTGACAATACTCAGGATTTCTCAGAGAAAAAGTATCAAAAAAGCTTCAGAAACACCCAGCCCACCATTACAGGGTCAACTGACTAACACTTAAATGAGTAAACACTGTTACTGCATGAAGTCATGCCACGTGTTTCAAAAGCAGCCAGACCACCACCAATCCAGAAAGCGGAAGTATGACTTCTCTCTAGAGATGCCATCACTACAATATTTTAATAACATTAACTGCAGCCATGACTTACTGCTACTGTAAAGAATTTTTGCAAGAGTAATTTCCAGTGTTGCTCCACGACTTCCCTCACCAAGCATATGCAACTGTATGCAGAAGGGAAAAAGAAAATGCAAGAATATTGCTGAGTTAAGAGTATTTCTAGAAAAAAAAAAAGTTATGCAGTCCTAAACAAATATCACAGGAATGGCTTTGTTGGACTTCCTCATGATATCCCTCTGCTAAATTTTGCTTGCTGAGCTCCTTTCAGAAGTATAGCCTCACTGAAACAACATTTAAGAATCACGGAAAAACAGACCCAAGAGCAAAAGTCAGTAACAAGATTTACCTTCCATGTAACTAGGGCATAACTGACACAAACAGTTAACACCTGACTATAAACAGTCAGTGTGGAGATCTTTGTATTCACCAGCCTAAAGCAATTTTAAACAAACTGTTTTCTAAGCAACATTTACAGTTGAAGTTAATATAAAAAAATTTCTAGCAGCCAGCTACTTCCAAAGTAGAAGTTACTTCTTAAGCTGCCTTCTGCTTAGAAGCTACTGTGTTAGAGTAAGGTCAGTCAGCCTGAAACATTCCAGGAATTAAACATCCCTGTTACACGTTATACATGTGATTCAACCCCACAATCAACCCATAGCAGCACAACTCAGCCACACCACTAAAAAGCAGAATATGGGGCAATTCTCACAGTCAAACGTTACTTGATATTTTTCTTTTTTCTTTAATGTTTCATTTAGTCATTATTAATACCAGACACAAAGTCTCACAGTTTCACATTTAGGAGTTCAGTTCTGGTATTCAGAAAATACATTCCATACCATTAAGATGATTTATGTTTTTTCTAATCCATTAGAGATATTTAATTGAGAAGTAGCTACTAAGTAATTCACCATCAACCACTAACGCAGCAGATCTCTCAATATAGAATCTACTGTCCTGATATAGTAACAAATGCTTCAATTTAAGAAAAATAACTTTCAATATTACAGAATTATGTACCAATGCAGAAAAAACTTAGTTAAGTAGTAATAATTTCCTGATAAATACTCAAAGCACAACAAAGAAATCAAAAACCTGCTCTTTGCTAATAATCGCTTATTAGAAATATAAAAAATTGCATATTACAAATCTGACTAAGTCTCGTAGCATACCTCATCTACTACAACAAGACCGAGCTCATCAATTCTTTCTGTTTCAATTAAGGAATTCACTAGAGCATGTCCTTTTTCTATAGTAGCAATATAAAGAGACTTTTTTATTCTCCTCTTGATTGGTGGAAATCTTCCTTTACTTCCTGCGTATTCTTCAACCAGGAAACCCAATTCTATCCCAAAACTTGATAAACCCCTAACCTGTAAAAAAAAAAAAAACAAACAAAAAACCAAAAACAATTAGAGAACAAACTCATCCTCATTTTGTATTTCACAGCTGCCTCAAGAACTCAACATGCATATAACCAACCCACACCGCAATCAACTGTTTGAATTAGTGCAAACATATTAGCTATGACTACCTTTTCCAATAGCAAAGTTGAAGTGTTTACAAATATTTATCAAGCTTGTGTTACATCTCTTTTCTAAAATTAACTCTTCTTTTATATAAAAAAATATTAGTTTTTATTTCAAGGCCATTTATTTAGCAAGTTGGGCAGTACAGCTCTAAGACTGCAGAACTATGCATAACATTGCAAAAAGCTATTATTTCAAAGTTCAGCACACTTCACTTTATAACTCAGCATCTTCACCTCAATTTAAGTCTGTTTTATTATGAAATTACTGACCCTCAGAGCAGCATTTAGGAGAGAAGTCACTCACTTCCTGCCATATATTTATGAAAATCATGGAGTTTGCTAAAATTAGTGTTCAAACCAGCCAAGTAACAAGGCATATCAGAGACGTTAAGCAGTATCAGAAAGACTGTATCCAGACCTTTTCTTGGACAATGGCAACATATGGCAGGATCATCAGAACATCTTTCTGCCTGCAGAGTAATTCTTGGAGAATTATAATTTCAGCTACAAGTGTTTTTCCACCACTGGTTGGCAATGAGTATATTAAATTCTTTCTTTGCTGCAGAGATTCTAACATTAAGCAATCATGCTGCCATTCTGCAAAATTAAAAAGAATTATTAGCAACCCCCAGGGGCATGTTAATCAACACCACAATGCCTACGGTTCACATCGAGTACTTTAAGCCCAGTGTTTGAGAGTTTTTCTTCAAGAAACCACTAACAGCTTTTAGTGATCGAGCCTTCCAAAGTATTCTATAAGCCGTATTAACCTTTCCCAACTCATCTAAAAAACCAAAAGAACCACTTAAAACAAAACAACCACTTTCCAACATGGTTTACATTAAATATTACCTTAACGTAAATATTTTTACAGTGTAAAGGGTAAAACAGGCAACGCTTCACTAACAATTTTTTTTTTCAACAAACCATGAGTTACATTACCATAAAGTGTTTCAATCCCTCGAAATTGTCTGAATAGATCTTTAACTTTGCTAGGTAACCCATAAAAAGGGCCTATATCAACAGAAGAAGATTCAATAGTTTTCCTAGCAACAGAAATCTCTTCAGATAAAACAGCTTCTTTAAGCTGCTTGGTCTTGGAGACCTGGAGAGTCTGGGCTTTGGCATTTCCAGTCATAGCACTTTTCAGATGATCTTTAAGACTCTCAGTTTTCAATAAATCACACTTAGAGTCTGAGGAAAAGTCAGTAGGTCTGTTCCTGTTTTCAGCATCAGGACTAAAAGACGATGAACTCTTGGTTTTGTCCGAGGAAGAATTCACAAGTTTATTCCTCCTTTCTGAGACTGGAGATACTCTAGAACCAGAAGAAAGTTCACGCATTTTCTCAAAATACAGAAGTTGTGATGATGGCAATTCATCTAAAATAGATTCAGTAGATTCTTGATTGCTATCCACCAGGTCAGTTTCATTCACTTGGAAAGCATCCTCTTTGCCAGCTTTAAGGACAACCATATTTTCTGAAGTAGAAAAGTTATCTTGTTTTTTCTGGTGAATTCCTGACTGAAGCTTCCCAAGTACGATTTCTCCAGCTGCTTTAATATCCGTATTTTTATCCTGCAGGTATTTGTGCTCTCTGTCATCATCCTGAGCTAGCAAAGAATCATTTCCACAAAAGCCGTCATAGTCGCCAAACATATCTTCTTCACTATCATTACTACACTGTAAAAACATAACAACGAGTATTAATACTCCAAAGCAACACCAAGGGAGGCAGCATTAACTCGTACAGCACACACGTCAGATGCAAGTGATGTAAGCCTTCCCCAACTTAATACGAAAGTTAAGTGTTTTTCCAATGGTGTTTGTGAGGAAAACTTGGCGTGACTTCTAGAGGAACGCGTGCTTTAACTCACTGAAACCTAACCTGCAAGTAGCACGACACCTGCAAGGCTGCTCGGTGGCGAGGAGGCTGTATTTAAAGTTAAGCCAAAGCGCATCCGCGCTCATGCGGAGCAAGGCCCTGCCCCGTCACCCTCACGCAGGCTCGGCCTGGGCCCAGCCACCCCTCCCAGACGGAGCCCCCCGCCTCGGTACGCA